AATAATATTCACTTTAATTTTTTTTAGTTTTGAATTTTTTCACTTAATAACTGATTTCTGTCAAAAATTTAAGTGTTTCTTATCATTTTTTACTTTGCTTCAATCAATTTTGTTGTTTTTTTTTTTAATTTTTTGATTCTTATTTTTGTTTCACTTAACTTCCATCAATTTTATCAGAGTTAGATTTGACAAGAATAATAATTCACTTCTAGTTTTTTTTTAATAAAATTCTTTCACATAAAACTGATCGTTTTTAAATAAGAGCAGAATTTTTATTTATTTTTTTTTTTGATGAGATGGTTTTCATTACTTTTTTGGTACAAAAAAATCTAATTACGACTCAATTACTTCTATCAATTTTTTTGTTTTTTTATTTGTTTTTATTTTTATTTCACTTAACTTCGATCGAATTTTATTAAAAAAGAGATCATTTTTTAATCTGAGGACAATTTTAATTAAATTTGCATTTTTCATGAGGTAATTTTGGTTAATTTTTGACACAAAAACCCCCTCAATTTAGAGAAATGATCGCTGACGGGGTTTGGAAACGCAACAACGCGACCAACTACATAACCTGCGACGACTTCGATGGGAAAAACACCCCAAAACGCGCCGGCCTAAACCTGAAAAAGTATTTCAGCAAGGAAGTTTCAGAAACGCCAACCTATGGTCCCATTAGCATCATTTCAAACGGTTACAGTTTCATGGAATTTACCATGCAGATAAGTGCAGTGGGGGTGCGTGAAAGCTCRTCGGATAAATCAGTACCATTGGGTACTTGGAAGGCGGGTTATGATAATAATTTAACCCTTGTGGACCCACAAATTATGAAAAATTACACGGCTGATGTGGTCTATCGTGTGGTSACAGTTGAGGTATTTCCCCCCAAAATTCACTACAAAATCTGGAAATGAAAAATTTTTTCAGCAAAAACCGTTCATTATTAAAGATGAAACYGCRCCGAAAGGTTACAAGGGTTATTGCATCGATCTCATKCAAAGGATAAGTGAAATATTAAATTTTGATTATGAYATTACCCCAGTTGGGGACCAGAAATTCGGGAATATGGACGAAAATGGGAAATGGAATGGTGTTGTGAGAGAATTGATGGAGAAAAGGGCTGATATTGGGCTTGGGTCAATGTCAGTAATGGCTGAAAGAGAAAATGTGATTGATTTCACAGTCCCGTATTATGATTTAGTCGGAATTACGATTTTAATGAAGTTGCCCAAAACACCAACTTCGCTTTTTAAGTTTTTGACGGTGTTGGAGAACGAGGTTTGGTTGTGCATTTTGGCCGCCTATTTTTTCACCAGGTTTACATTTTTTTCTTTTATTGCAATTTGGCTCACATTAGAATTCAGAAAAAAATTTAATGTTTTTGATAAAACCACATTTCAGTACAAAAGAATTTTTTTAACTAAAAATATAAAAACTGATTTTTTGTATAAAACTCTTATTTACGATTCTTTTGACCTTTAACAAAATATAAAGTTTTACTGCTTGAAAAGTTATTTTTCAACTCTCTTTCATATAAAAAATATTTGACAGAAGAAAGTTTATAGCTTTTTAACACTTCAAAAGTAAAAATTAATTTCAAATAAATAATTTTAAGAAAGTAATTTTTCACATATTTAAGGAAAATTAAGTTTTTCAAAACAATGGCCAGTGCTCATTTTTTTCTTTTTGTGTTACA